CATAAATTAAGTGATTAAGTGATATCCTTTTTTTCATTTGTGTTACTCCTACAATAAAGATATGTGTTTTATGTTAATTTCATACTTATGCACTCCTTATATAATATTTTTATAATATGAAAACAGTAAATCTTATTAAATATGTTAATTTTTGGTGAGTATTGGGGGTATATTGAATATTGCTTCAAATTATACTTCTACACTTAATGAAATTTTTAAATTATTTAAGTTAATTCTCCACAAGCTGTTATGTTAACTTTCTGAGTAGGAGAGCCTGATTTTGTTCCACATTTTTCCATTTTCTTTAAAACATCTAAACCACTAAGAACATGTCCAAATACTACATGTTTTCCATCTAACCAATCTGTACGTGCTGTACATATGAAGAATTGTGAACCATTTGTATTTGGACCAGAATTTGCCATTGATAAGGTACCAGGCCCTGTATGCTTTAATTCAAAATTTTCATCATCAAATTTGTTTCCATATATTGACTTCCCTCCTGTTCCATTATGATTTGTGAAATCTCCTCCTTGACACATCTATATTTGTATAAGGAATAATTATCTAATATTATTTACTGTATAATACAATACTAAAAATTTCTAACTCTGTATGAAAAGTAAATGAAGGATACAAATTCTGGAATAATTCTATGAAAGGTGCTTCCTTGGTAACCATATCCTTTTTCATGAGTACAAAGAGCTCGAAAATTTTCAGCAGTTTTTGGTACAATATCAGCTCTCAACATCATAATAATTCTACCCACTTCTTGTTTTCCAATGCTAATGTCAAAATATACTTGAGGATTTTGTTTTCCTTTTTTTGATTGCACTGCTTCACTTGATTTTCCATTATCATCATTTTTAAGTGTTTCACCTGCATGCTCTTGTAACCATGCATCATCAGCCCAAACAGGTTTTGATGAACCTTCTTTTATTTTTTGTGGTTTTGCAATATTTACCCTGATTGTTCTTCCAAACAACTCAGAATCATTCTGTTTGTTCAAGATAAAGTTTGATAAATTTGTAGATTAAATGATTTTAAAGTGATCAATATTATGATTAGATAAATGGATTTAACTTTTAATCTATGTTTACATGCATTTTTCAAGAATAGATAATAATGCAATGTGTATTCCTTTTTACACAGAGTTTTTATCAAATGTCTTTCTTAAAAATTGTTATTACATGAATAGAAGAATAATTTTACAAAAATAATATATTAAAATATTTATTCAAAATATAATTAAAATATTCAAATAAAACGAACAATTTAACAACTGTTCATTATAAAACTATGTTATTAAATAACTCACACAGATAGTGCTGTTTTATACATGTACCATGTTATCAATTGCTGCTGCTGCATCTTCTGCACTTTCAAATTCAATAAAAGCAAACCCTCTATGTTTTTCTGATTCGTAATCTAATGGTATTTGTACATCAACAATTTCACCAAAAGGTATAAATGCTGCATGTAATACTTTTTCATCGACCTCCTCGGCCAAGCCTCCTAAATATCAATAATAATAACAAACAAGGTACGTAAAATATATAGGTTAAAATGGGTTGCATTAATAAATATAAAATAATACATTGTTACCTACCCACATAAATAGTTCTTTTCGTATTCGTACTCATAACGTATAAAATATTATTGTATTTGCTGCTTTTATGGATGTGATATTGTAATAAACAATTAAATCCGATAATAACTTTTATTGACTAAAGGACGCCGGCGCGCCGGCTACACATACCACTACAAATCAAAGAGTTTAACGAAATATAACGTACGTAGCTTTAATCAGAATAAAGTAGCGACAAGTTATATAAGGTCAGTTGCGACGAAATTGATAACATGAACTGATAACGTTACTTGAAAATAACCATTTATAAGAAAAGGTTATATTAAATTAAGCATACAAGTTGCCTTTCTGTTATATACTCTTGTTTAAAGGTAAGTAGCACATTGACTGTGTTCACACTATCTATTCGTAGATAAATTATAAATCATTGAAACTTAATACTCACTTGTTTTTAATGCTTGCTTTTATATTATATAAATTAACATATTCGAAAAAACAATTAATTTTGAGTTTTTATTATGCCTGCAATTATGTTGTTAATAAATCATTTATATTTAATGCTTACCACCTTTTATACCTTGTTTAATCTATTATACATTTTGTGATTATAGGTTAGTGTTCTAATGATTTTCAATATGCATATATTACAAAAAGGTATATCATATAATGCTCCTTTATTAAGTCGATCATTGCATCTTTTAAAAGATCTAGCATATGTAAATGGTGAGTGGACAGGAGCAATAAAAAAAGAAACATTTCCTATTTATAATCCAGTTGATAAATCTGTTATTAACAATGTTCCTGATATGGATGTTCAAGATACTCAATTAGCAATCGATGCTGCTTCCAAAGCTTTTAAAACATTTAGTCAAACAACTGCAAAAGAACGAAGTGATTTATTGAGAAATTGGTATAATCTAATGGTAAAACATTCTGAAGATTTAGCACAAATTTTAACCAAAGAAAATGGAAAATCCATTGCTGAATCTAAAGCTGAAATCAGATATGGAAATTCATTTGTTGAATGGTTTTCTGAAGAAGCTAGACGAATTAATGGAGAGATATTGCAAGCACCAGTATCTAATAGAGAACTTCTCTTGTGGAAACAACCAGTAGGAGTAGCTGCTTTAATTACACCATGGAATTTTCCACATGCTATGATTACACGAAAAGCTGCTGCTGCTCTTGCTGCTGGATGCACATGTGTGATTAAACCATCTGAAGATACACCCCTTACTGCTTTAGCATTAGCTGATCTTGCAGAGAAAGCAGGGTTTCCTCATGGAACAGTAAATGTAATTACAACAAGTCTAAAAAATTCTCCTAGTGTTGGTAAAGAATTATGTGAAAGTGTTAAGGTAAGAGCTTTATCATTTACTGGCTCAACAGCTGTGGGAAAAATTTTATATCGACAATGTGCTTCAAATATAAAGCGACTTGGTCTTGAATTAGGAGGTAATGCACCATTTATTGTGTTTGATTCTGCCAACATAGATTTAGCTGTATCAGGTGCTATGGCAAGTAAATTTCGTAATACTGGTCAAACATGTGTTTCTGCAAATAGATTCTTTGTACAAGCTGGTAAATTTGATAAATTCATAGAAGCATTTTTATCAAAAATTAAGGATGAAATTAAAATGGGTGATGGTAGTAAGGCAGGGGTAACACATGGTCCTCTTATTAAAGAAAGTCAGTTAAATATGGTAAATGCATTGGTTACTGATGCAGTACAAAAGGGAGCAAAAGTACATTGTGGTGGTACACCATTACCTGAATTAGGACCATTGTTTTATGCTCCTACACTTATAACAGGTGTTACTCAAGACATGAAAATATATGGTCAAGAAATTTTTGGTCCAGTAGCTGTTATTCATAAATTTGACACTGAGGATGAAGCTATAAAAAAATCTAATGATATACCTGTTGGTCTAGCTGGATATTTTTATTCTGAAGATATATCACAAATATATAGAGTAGCAAAAAAATTAGAAGTTGGAATGGTTGGGGTAAATGAAGGATTAATTTCTACTGCAGAAGCTGCTTTTGGAGGTGTAAAAGAATCAGGTATAGGAAGAGAGGGTTCTAAGCATGGTGTTGACGATTTTCTTGAGATAAAATATGTGTGTCTGGGAAATCTGAAACAATGTTGAATATTTTGTGAAGTAACTTAGGTAAACTATCAAATACAATATTATTAAAAAAATTTGAAATATTAAAAAGTATTAATTTATTTATTCATTTATTTTTTTAATTTTTATT